TTTTTCAGTCTTGTTGCTGGTTTATATTTTTTTAGCTCGTCAGTCCTGTAGATGGCGCCGCGTCGGTTTCTGCCCAGATTCTCCTCCGTGGAGCAGAAGAACGTTGAGTGTGAGCGATGGAAACAGGACCAAGTGATTCGATCTTCAGTGAAGATGATTTTCTAACCTGGAGGGAAGAAGCAGCTCGATCACACCTGTGATATCTGCAGCTTTATTAACATTCATATGATCTCATCATCACTAAAGCATCTGTCGTGTACAAAGCTAATGATTCTTATTGAGTAATTACTGGATCGAGTTTTAATATAAATCAGAGAGAGTGATATAAGTTATTGAGTAAACCTGTTTATCATATATCATTCACTCACTTTATGAATGATTTATTCAAATTCAGAGGTGACTTTAACTTTTGTTGATGGCTTATATCAAGTTGAGAAACACACACATCTATAAATCAGATCTGGTGTCAGCTTAGCAGCTGGGTTCATCAACATGAACTAACATGTGACTGGAGCTGCAGCTTCTTGGGACTTTAAGCAGCAGCCTCATTAAATCCAGAGACTGTTGGTGTTTAATGAGTGTGTTCAGTAAAGATGCAAATTATAATTGTTTTAGATGAAGATCAGATTTTATCTCCAGTTAATACAGAAAACCAGGTCAGTCCAAAGGATTAGTCACATGTTCCTCTTTTACCTTTAAAAATCTGAATTTCTCAGTTTCCTCGTGTCCTAAAAATAAATAACTTTAATTATCAAAACTCTGCAATAAAATCTGAGTTGAGACAATATTTCCCTCCTGAGACAGAAAGTCTCTCCAGTCTTATCAGGAGACATGATGCAGGTAAACCGAGGTGTATACATAACGAGAGGAGAGAATAATAACGATGATATTTAATTACTGGAAACGGCTTCAATCACTGAGACTGAAACAGCTTCAGTGTTAGTTTCTTAATGAGGAGCGTGTAACAATATATTATTTCACTTTCACTTTCAACAGGCAGAAAGAACAAAGACGTTGATTTGTCAGCACCGACCACCTGCCCCAGTGAAGTGCTCTGCCTCAGGGGTCACCGTGACCTCTGACCTCTCTTCAGTGGGTGGCAGAGAAAGAGGAGAACTCCCGCTGAGCTGGTAAGTGTATGATTACATCTGAACTATCATTGCTGGGTAAACGGAGTAATACCTGTCACTGCGTCTGCCACGCTGCGCAGTCACAACTCGTCTAGACGTCCTCGTGCTCCCCCGGCACGCTCCCACTCCTAATCCTGTTAACGCCGCCAGCCCGCGCCACAATAACCTACATTCTGCAGTAATCACAGCGGCTGACTGAGGCGAGAGGGTGTCAGAGCCACGAGAGAAAAACCGGCAGCAAATCCTGGTGACAGAGCACGAGGCTGGAGGGGGGGGGGAGTTGTGCATTCAACTCTTATTTGGAAAAGGAGGATGTACATTTTAGAGCTCCATGTTGCTGTGGCTGAGCTCCAAGCTTCTACCAGCTGTAGAGAGGCAAGGATCCAAACTGACTGACACACACACACACACACACACACACACAGACAGATACCTTGGACTTGTAAGAACTGTCAATCACAACATTGAGTTTTCATTTATTTTGACTGAGACAGTTTTGGTTCTAAACCTCAGTTAAATTGGCAAAGAGCACAGAATGATCTCTGACTGGTTCCACTGTGCTCTTTGATGTTTAGGCAGAAATATGGCACAAGGACGTCTGAGTGCAGCTAACGGTAAACAGCAGCTAACGGTAAACAGCAGCTAACGGTAAACAGCAGCTAACGGTAAACAGCAGCTAACAGTAAACAGCAGCTAACAGTAAACAGCAGCTAACGGTAAAGAGCCCATAAAAATATACAGTTAAATCTCTTCCAGCTATAATCTCCCAGTAGAATCACAATAAGATGGAACACTTTAGAGACAGTGTTGTCTGTGTTTTATGGTCAATACAATTCTTTTTATGAGGCAGGATTCAGGCTGTTTAATACCTGAGTGTCAGTACAAAGACAAAATAACAGTTTTTAGTTTGAGGAAAATAAATGTATATAAACAACCCCCCCTTACCCCTCCTATTTTACCCATTTAACAAAAAGCCAAAGATTGTCAAAGGTCAACAAAATTATTATTTAAACTTCCTCCAGACGTGTTTTAAACTCTGTAAAAATCCTCTGCTGTGATTCATATTTAGTTTAACATGGTTTTCATCTCCTCTCACTTCCTGATTGAGAAATGTGGATAAGGCCTTGAGCCCCGCCCACCACCTGCTGGCTCCAGGTGGACAGGTGAAAGAGCAGAGAGCATCAAGATGGTGAGAGGAGGAAACATCAGAGAGACTCAGCCACATGTTTGAGCCTCAGTCAGACCCAGACTCAGAGGAGGAGTCTGAGACCAGAACCAGAGACTAGCAGACGGGTCAGAACCGTTAGCTAGTTAGCATCTTCTCAGAGTGGGTAGCTAGTTAGCACTTTTCAGAGCAGTTAGCATAGTTAGCATCTTTTATTTGTTTATGTTGTTTGTTAGCTTGTAACTGGCAGTGTCTTGACACAGTGTTAGCAGTTGTGCTAATGCTAACTCTCTCTCTCTGTACTGACGAGGTTTCAGGTGTATTTAGCCCCGCCCCCCGTCCCCATCAGCTGACAGGATTGGTTCCTGAGGTTTGTGACGTGTGAAACCCTGAATCTGTGTTTATGAGACTGTGATTGGTTCACTGCAGTTCAAGGTGGAAACACTCAGTCATGGTGTTGATGATTATTTCATCATCATGTGTCTGTGTTATATAAAAACATCATGTGGACGTTAACGAGGTGAAACTCTGGGGTTTCATCAGAGGGTCTTTAAATTAGAGATTGTGTGATGTCAGAGAAAAGAGAGAGTCTGAGCAGCCTCATGTTTTTTTGTACTTGACTGGTTTCAGTTTAGGAGCTACTTCAGTAAAAGTTCTGAGGTTTGATACTCAGGAGGAGGAAATCACCCCACCCCACATACACAACAAACACCTGACACCTGAGATTGATCCTAATGTTAATCTTCATTCTAATGGTCAGTGTCGGTGTAAAAGACTCTCAGAGAGAGATGAAGACCTGTCCTCCATCTGGAGGATTTTTGCCTCAGTCTCTCACTGTGAGGAGATCTGGTCCTCTGGAGCACCATGGTAACCATAGAAATCATCCACACACACACACACACACACACACACACACTCACTCTAAGATTCACAATAACGCACACACAGCAGAGACAGAGGGGGAAAGCAAGAACACATGAGTGTGTGTGTGTGTGTGTGTGCGTGTGTGTGTGTGTGTGGATGCGCACGTGCAAGCGCATGCGCGGTCACGGTCTCGGTTTTCTCTTCTGATGCACGCCCCCCCCACCACCACCACCAACCGGCTGACACGCCCCGCGCATCTCCTCCACCCATCAGCCACAGGAAGACATCACATTCAATTCCCGCCGTGTCATTAGAAGAAACTCCAGCATCCAGCCCGCGTCACATATGAGTATTAAACGTATTAAACGGGGGGATGGCGGGTAAATGTTGGAGGAAATCTGAAGCCGGCACATTTGCATAATGGGATTTTTTTTTTCAACAAGTATCAGGAAATGGATCTGCTCATTTAGCCCTGCGCAAATTAGTGTTAAATTGGGATGATTGTGCGCATGTGCCTGAATCACGGTGACCCTGTAATAAATCTGATACTATTGGTGACGACAGCACTTATATGAATCCCTGTGGGACCGTTGAGCCAATGACAGACACTATAGGTCAGTTTATCCTTCTATAGAAAAACATTATTCACTATGAAGTCACTGAGCGGCTTTCTATGGGTGTGTGTGTGTGTGTGTGTGTGTGTGTGTGAATTAGGCGGCGGTGATAATACGGGAGATGACGTCACTTTTACTAGAGCTAACCTGACAATTGAGAGCAGAGATCAGGGACAGGAACATCCTGTGTGCAGCTTCACAAAATAAGAAAATCTAGTTCTTAATGAAACTTAATGAGCTTTTATATGAAAATAAACATAAAAAGGAGCTTTATCATAATAGATTGTGATGCTTTGTCACAACTACACTGCTGCTGCTGCTGCTGCTGCTTCAGTTCCTTCAGTGAAGTTTGGAGGGATTTCTTTTCTGCATTTCATCCGGATCTCTGTCCCACTGTTGCCAGATCTGATTTGATTTGATTTAAATATGTCAGAATATTTCTGTGTCCGATCTCTAGGAATCAGCTGTTAGTGTGTGTAACCCGTCTGAAGGGTGACAGACCTGCAGTGCTTTCTCTTCACATGATAATTATTCATATGATCCGGCGATGACGGTGTGATTGTGTAAGATACAGCCTATTTTCCCGCTCCTGTTCCAGTTGTGGATATGGCTGCCGCCGCGGGTGCTGTGTAACAGCCCTGCGCACCGGAGCCAACCATTATGAGAGAGGAAAGGAGAGGGAGAGAGAGAGAGAGAGAGGCGGCAGAGATGCAAGCAATAGGGGGAGGGGTGGAAAAAGGAGAGAGGAGGAGAGTGTGATTGTGTGTGTGTGAGAGTGTGTGTGTGGATGGATGGATAGTAGCCTACCACCGGGCTGAGCTGCCGCTGCTAGAGGAGCGCACACACACACACACACACACACACACTCTCTCTCTCTCTCTCTCTCTGGAGGAGAGTGTGTGAGCAGCCAGTCAGTCAGTGTGAGTGTGTGAGCCATGTTGGATGTGAATGAACGGGAGGAAAGATGCGCCGCTCCTAAGGCTCAGACCTCCAGCTCCACGGACCACAGCGGGTAGATGCCAACTCTCCGGGCCGACGGAGAGACGGGGGAGCCTGGGGGAAGGTGTCGGGCGGTGCCGGCGGTCCTGGAACTGGAACTGGCCACCTAGTCGGAACGAGGGAGAGAGAGAAGTGACGGGGAGAGGGCAAGGCGCGCTGAGAGAGAAAGAGAGAGAATAGGTGGAAGAGGGAGAAAGGAGGAGAGAGACAGAGAAAGGAAGAGACTAAATGGCTGCACCGCTCTCGGGCTTCACCCCGCTCCTGCTCTCGTCTCTGCTTCTCCACCTGCTTCTCCCCGGCCCTTTGTTCAGCCTCACCCCGGGGACGGGGAACACAGGAGGGGCTGCCGACCGATGGACCCCGGGTCTCTGCTACCGAGACGCCGGTAAAGTGAGCCAGAAGCAACAGCAGCAGCGGCGGCGGTGCGAGGGACCAGGGGAGTCGCCGAGTGGCAGCTGGTATCTACGCCCAGGCAGGTGGACCGTAGAGCGGATACAGACTGAGGGATGCTGTGGAGGGACGCGGGGAGGAGATCAACGGGATGGAGAGAGAGGGACACGGGAGGAGAGACTGAAAAGAGTCGGGACGGTTTGGAGGAGTGGAGACGATCCTCCGGCACCACCACCACCACCTCCTCCTCCTCCTCCTCCTCTCCACCCAGGTATTTGGAGCAGGTCGAGCTCGGATGGCGTCTGCTCAGGAGAGGGAGTGGAGAAAGGGAGGGTGAGGAGGAAGGGCGTTGTTTCACCTCCCGCTTCACCTGCTTTCACCTCGTCGCCGGTTCAGAACGGAAAGAAACGGCCAGTACAAAGGACTAGAGCGTGCGCGCATCGGTGTCCGGCGTCAAGGCCACACCTCACCAAACGTGGCGCCGCCGGAGCCTTTGTGCGCGCCTCTGGCCTGTGCAGGGCACCCGGAAGTGGAGGGAGGAGAGGGGGAGAGGTGTTGGATACACGGTGCTCCCTGACACCTGAGCATCTCTGCTGCTTCAGCCCCGACAAACGAGCCCCCTCCGCGGCCAACAGCCCCTCACCTGGCCCCGCGCCAACCGGTTGCTCTTGTTGCATCCACCCTCTCTCTGGATACAGTTCAGCACATGATGCGGCTCCAGACTCCACCTTCAGATCCAACCCCCCCCTCACAGAGAGTCCGGACTGTATCCAGAGGTCACACCTGGACCACACGTGTCTTTTCTCCTCTTGTGGTTCCTCCCAGACCCGCAGCACAGAGGAGGTCCAGCCTCCCCCAGCTCTCAGGAGCAGCGTGGCCTGTGACGGTGACGGGGGCTCAGCCAGCGTGGACAGGGGGGGCGGTAATTGTTCTCATTTGGGCAGGCACAATGCTATCGATCCCAGCAGCAGAGGGGAGGGGGGTGGTGAGAGCTGTTTGAACGGGTGCATGAGGGGAAAGGAGGAGGAGAGGGGGACGAGGAGTGGGGGAGGTGAGGAGGAGGGGGAGGAAGCGTACAGGTGTAACCCCGGTACCAGGGGGCACCTGGGTCGTTGTGGGCCCCCTCTCCATGATGGGAAAGCTGTGTGTAACCACGCCAGAATTATGGAAGGAGGGAGGGTGAGGGATGATGGGAGACGGGGGGAGGGTGGAGGGGGGGTGAACCAAGGCAACAAACACATTAATTTATCTAATTATCCGGATGATGATTTGGCTTTTCTGATTGTGACGCTCCCCCGTCAGACTGAGGAGGAGCTGCAGCCCCCGGCACAGAGCACACAGGCCCGGGGAGAGGGCAGGGAGGCTGCCGGTGGGGGCTTCGGTTGTTTGGACAGAATAGAAACGGGGGGTGGATATGTGGCCGGGTTTATGGTCCCCGGGGGAGGCGTAGCTCAGAGGAATCTCCCCATCCAATTTACCCCCAGCAACACGACCGAAACGCGCGGCCGATGTTTTCTATCCGGCAAAAGCGCAATTCCTAAAATCTCATCACACCCCTCTCCCCCTCCCCCCCACACACGGAACCAGACAGGAAGTAGAAAACTGTCCGAACCGTCTCGTGCTGAAGCAGGAGGAGCCACTTCAGAGCCGCCGCCTCCCGGTGACTCAGGACTTTCCCCCGGTAAATCTCCCGGTGTTGAGTCTCTCTCTCTGCCTGAGATCAACCTGACCACATGGCGGGAGTACTCCCCACCTTCTGCTCACCCCCCCTCTGAGGAGGAAGGTGTGATTTCAGCACCATGGACAGCTCCCACTGACTCTGAGCGCGCGCTTCTGTGGAGCCAGTTCAACAGCAACAACAACAACAACAACGAGGGGGGGGCAGGTGACGGTCACAGTCACGAGTCTGAGGTACAGAACAGGAAGAGGAATACTCCGTGGCGCGAACAGACAGAGGGGGGGCGAGCAGAGCGCGCGGACACCGTCTCCACCGACTGCTCCGTGCACGTGCAATTAAAACCCGGTGAGCAAGTGCCATCAGAGCCGGGAGGTGTCAGACTGTCAGAGAGGCGGCAGATGGGGGGCGAGGCAGAGAGAAAGGGAGAGGGCTTGGAGGGGTCCACTGCTGCTGCTGCTGCTGCTGCTGCTGCTGCTGGAGGAGGAAAATTACAGGTGGGGGAGGGCGAAGGAGAGGCGCTGCTGAGAGGAGGGACAGAACCAGAGGGAGAGGAGGAGGAGGAGAGGGAAGATGGAGTAACAAAGGCGAGTCAGGCAGAGGAGAGAGAGGCAGAGGGAGGGAAGGGTCAGGATGGGGGCAATAGCAGCACCAGCATCTCACAGCCAGAGAGAGAGAGAGGGAAGAAAGAGAGCCGGGCGGATGAAAGCCACGAGGGGGGAGAGGTGGAGGGAGAGGAGGATGTGGGGAGGCCCAGCTCAAGGGGAGAGAGGAGCCTGGAGCGAGTGATAATAGTAGCAGATGATGAAAGCTCGCAGGGGGAGAGGGAGAGGAGGCTCCTGATGCCCTGGCCTCGCTCTCGACGTGCCGCCAACAGACACCCCCATTTCTCCCAGTACAACTACCAGGTGCAGGTGGCAGAGAACCAGCCCCCCGGCACCTCCGTCATCGTCATGGCCGCCTCCGACCCGGACCCAGGCGACGCGGGCAGAGTGAGCTTCAGCATGGCTCCGCTGATGAACAGTCGCTCCTCCGACTACTTCCACATCCACCCAGACACCGGCCTCATCACCACCACCCAGATCCTGGACCGGGAGCACATGGACCTGCATTACTTCCGGGTCACGGCCACTGATAACGGCTCCCCCCGCCTCTCCGGCACCACGATGGTGGCCATCACTGTGTCGGACCGGAACGACCACTCTCCTATCTTTGAGCAGTCGGAGTACAGGGAGACCATCAGGGAGAACGTGGAGGAGGGGTATCCCATCCTACAGCTCAGGGCCACAGACTCAGACTCCCCCTCCAACGCCAACATCCGCTACCGGTTCATCGGTGACACGGCGGCGATTGCGCGATCGGCCTTTGAGATCGACCCGCGCTCTGGCCTCATTACGACCCGGGGGGCGGTGGACCGGGAAACCAACGAGCACTACACTCTGCAGGTGGAGGCCAGCGACCAGGGGAAGGATCCCGGTCCACGCTCCGCCACCGTCAAGGTCTTTATCACCGTGCTGGATGAAAACGACAACGTGCCTCAGTTCAGTGAGAAGCGCTACGTGGTGGCGGTGAAAGAGGACGTCCGGCCTCACTCTGAGATCCTGCGTGTGAGCGCCACAGACCGGGACAAGGACAGTAACGCAGCCGTTCACTACAACATCATCAGTGGTAACAGCCGCGGGCAGTTCTCCATCGACAGCGTCACAGGTGAGATCCAGGTGGTGGCTCCTCTGGACTACGAGGCCGAACGGGAGTACACGCTCCGGGTTCGTGCTCAGGACAATGGCCGCCCCCCCCTCTCCAACAACACTGGGATTGTCAGCGTTCAGGTGACGGACGTCAACGACAACCCACCCATCTTTGTCTCCACGCCGTTCCAGGCATCTGTGCTGGAGAGCGCCCCGATCGGTAGCTCCATCCTCCACATCCAGGCCATAGACACAGACTCAGGTGATAACGCCCGCCTGGAGTACAGGTTAACTGGCACCAGCTCCGACACGCCCTTCATCATCAACTCCGCCACAGGCTGGGTCACCGTCAGCTCCATCCTGGACCGGGAGTCTGTGGAGCACTACTTCTTTGGCGTGGAGGCGAGGGACTACGGCATGCCGCCTCTCTCCGCTACAGCCAGTGTCACTATCACGGTGATGGACGTCAATGACAACCGCCCCGAGTTCCTACAGAAGGAGTACTACTCTCGCCTCAATGAGGACGCTTCTGTGGGCACCAGCGTGGTGACTGTCACAGCGGTGGACCGTGACGTCAACAGCGCGGTGACCTATCAGATCACCGGAGGAAACACCAGAAATCGCTTCGCCATCAGCACAGCCGGAGGGGCGGGACTTCTCTCGCTTGCCCTCCCATTGGACTACAAACAGGAGCGGCGTTACGTCCTGACGGTCACTGCCTCGGACCGCACACTCCACGACACCTGTCAGGTGCACATCAACATCACAGACGCTAACACGCACCGGCCTGTTTTCCAGAGCGCCCACTACTCTGTCAGTGTGAACGAAGACCGGCCTCCCGGCAGCACCGTGGTCGTGATCAGCGCCACTGATGATGATGTCGGCGAAAACGCCCGAATCACCTACTTCCTGGAGGACAATATCCCACAGTTCCGCATTGACCCAGCGAGCGGGGCCATAACGCTGCAGGCGGAGCTGGACTACGAGGACCAGATGACCTACACTCTGGCCATCACCGCTAAAGACAACGGCATCCCACAGAAATCAGACACCACGTACGTCGAGGTGAACGTCAACGACGTCAACGACAACGCGCCTCAGTTCCTCAGCCCCAGGTATCAGGGGACAGTGAGTGAAGACGCCCCTCCCTTCACCAGCGTCCTCCAGATCTCAGCCACAGACCGCGACGCCCACGCCAACGGCCGAGTTCAGTACACCTTCCAGAACGGCGAGGACGGCGATGGAGATTTCACCATTGAACCTACGTCCGGCATCGTCCGGACTGTGCGGCGTTTGGACCGTGAGAGCGTGCCCTTCTATGAGCTCACCGCCTATGCCGTCGACCGTGGCGTGCCCCCTCAGCGGACCCCCGTCCACATCCAGGTGACAGTTCTGGACGTGAATGACAACGCCCCTGTGTTCCCCGCTGATGACTTTGAAGTTCTGGTGAAGGAGAACAGTGCGGTGGGCTCTGTGGTGGCCCAGATCACCGCCACCGACCCGGACGAAGGCGCCAACGCTCAGATCATGTACCAGATCGTGGAGGGAAACATCCCTGAGATCTTCCAGATGGACATCTTCTCCGGGGAGCTCACGTCGCTCATCGATCTGGACTACGAGGCCCGAAACGAGTACGTGATCGTGGTCCAGGCCACCTCCGCACCTCTGGTCAGCAGAGCCACGGTGCGGATCCGACTGGTGGACCAGAACGACAACCGGCCCACTCTGCAGGACTTCCAGATCATTTTCAACAACTTCGTGTCCAACCGCTCCAACAGTTTCCCCAGCGGGGTGATAGGGAGGGTCCCCGCCCACGACCCCGACGTGTCGGACCGGCTGTACTACACCATCGACCGCGGCAACGAGCTTCACCTGCTGCTCCTGAATCACACCAGCGGAGAGATCCGACTGAGCCGAAAACTGGATAACAACAGGCCTCTGGTGGCTCCCATGCTGATCTCCGTCACGGGTAAGAGACCATGGAGGGAGTGTGAGTGTGTGTGTGTGTGTGTTTCCCCTGTAGCTTCATTCACTGTAACAAATACTGTGAAGATAAGGACTCAGACTCCACAGGTCTGAGGTGATAAGGCTGGATGCTGTTGGGAGCTGTTGCTTCACTTTGTCTCTTTCTCTTGACTCGAGTGTGTGTGAACGGATCAGTTTGAGTTTCTGAAACTTGAGGCGCTCTGTGAAGCTGATCGTGTGTGTGAAAGAAAAGCTGATTGAATGAGCGAGAGAGAAAATGAGATCTGTTAGACGTCAACCTCTCGTACCTGAGCCCCTGAAGGAAAAGGCTCATGGGAGAAACTGTGTTTGTGGCAGAACCACAGAGGGTGACGGAGTGAGACTCAGCTGAGAGATAAACAATTGACAGATTGATGCGAGTCGGTTTAGCAGCGTCTCGGAGAGAGAAAGGTGTAACGCTCAGCGTGAGGAGACGTGACGTACGTCTCACAGGAGAGCAAAAACCTGAAGCTGCTTGTTTCAGTGACACGGTGATATCATTATTATTAATAAGTTTTCCATATTAAATGATTCAGTCTGGTTTATGAGACGTGCTGTTGGAGGCAGCGACAGTTTCCGATCAATATTGTAGCACCGCCCACACTCTGTGATTGATAGGTGATCTGGGCTAAGAGCGGTCCAGGTTGCCATGGCGATTTTGTGTAAAAAAAAAAAAAAAAAATTAAAGAAAATCTCTTTCGCAGGGAAACAAGGAAACACTGACTGCTGTCAGCGGCTGCTTCCTGTTTAATGTGTGTGGTGTTTCCTCATGAAACTGCTTCATCTCACTGTGAATCTGTTGGTTATTAATGTGGATGGAAACACAGGAAATTATCAATTTACATTTATATTTTATATGTTTAATAGTCAAGTGCCCATTTCACAGGGTCAGCCATCTTTATTACTGTAACTGGAAAGTTTTAATATCATAATTACATTATGAGAAATTCAATAATTAATGTAAAGTATTTATTGACTTTATGATAAATGCATTTTATTTTATTTTAATTTGTTTCTCCACACGAATATAATTATTCATCCATATTTTTCCATCCTGTGAATACATTCATTTAGAATCTGGACTTTTTGAATTAAAGTCAATTTCATTTAGATTTTTTTAGGTGTATTTTGTTGTTTATTTGTTTGTATTTACAGACTTTAAGATAAAAGCTTCCTAAAAGCTTTACAGAGCTTCACCGACAGTGATCACATGATCAAAGCCTCAGAGGCCGAGCGAGGGAAAACGAGAGCAGCATTGTTGCTTTGAAAGTCTGGGTAGTGGTTACTGATGGGTTGTTGTTTGTTGTGTTGTTTGTTGTGTTGTTTGTTGTGTTTGTATTGTCAGGAAGCTTTAATGGCTCGGGACTGTGTGTGACCTGCTTCCCTATTTACACTGTTTTTATACCAGCAGCTTCAAAACATATTCATTTAGTTGAGGGTGAGTGAGTGAGTGAGTGAGTGAGTGAGTGAGTGAGTATAAATGCTGTGTCTCTGTGTCTTTGTCTCCATCTGTCTCTTCTTCTTCTCTCAGCTCAGACGTAGATTCATTTCCAATTTTCTTGCTATTTCTCTCTATGAAAGTATTTACCCCCCCACCCCCCCCCCCCCCCGGCTCCAGATGTGACAGTATGAGATATAATGAAACAACAGTGAGCTGGAGTCGGCCTCGGAGCAAAGCTGTCACTTTCATTGTGAGCTGTGTGTTATCTTTGACTACCCGTCCCTCCTCTAACCGTCACTGTCTTTCTCTCCTTTATTCCTCCTGTCTTTGGATGGATGGATGAATTCTTCTCTTTCATTCCTTACATTTCTCTCTCTTCTTTTTCATCATTTTTCCATCATGTTTCTATTTTCTCCTCCTTTTCCGTCTTTCTTTTCTTCTTCTCTTCTCCTCATGTCCTTGTATCCAGTCACCTGCTCTCTCTCTCCTTTTTCTTTTCCTTTCTTGCACTCAGTGATCCCTCCTTCCCTCCTTCCCTCCTTCCCTCATTCCCTCCTTCCCTCATTCCCTCCTTCCCTCCTTCCCTCCTTCCCTCATTCCCTCCTTCCCTCATTCCCTCCTTCCCTCCTTCCCTCCTTCCACTCTTCCCTGTAATCCTCTCATAACTCTCACAGGCTGTTTCTCTTCACTTCTGCTCCTCCTTCCTCTTTTCCTCTCTTATTTCCTCTGTGTGTGTGTGTGTGTGTGTGTGTGTGTGTGTTGCAGGCATGTGTTTGTATTTACAGTGTGTGTGTGTTTGAATAATGTTTTCTTGTAGCAGAAAGATTTGTGCGTTTGTGCGTGACGTGTGTTTGCACACAGTTCTGTGTGTGTGTATATATGTTTGTGTGTGTGTGTGTATATGTGTGTGTGTGTGTGTGTATATGTGTGTGTGTGTGTGTGTATATGTGTGTGTGTGTGTGTGTGTGTGTGTGTATATATGTTTGTGTGTGTGTGTGTGTATATGTGTGTGTGTGTATATATGTGTGTGTGTGTCTGTGTGTGTGTGTGTCTGTGTGTCTGTGTGTGTGTGTGTCTGTGTGTGTGTGTGTCTGTGTGTGTGTGTGTGTGTGTGTGTGTACTCTCAGGTGGTTCAAAGCATTTCACTTGAGACTGTATTCCTGTCTATGCAATGAATAATATCTGTGCACACCAGAGCTGGGACTCCTGTCTCTCTCTCTCTTTTACTTCCTCACTATTTCACGCTTCCTTCCTTCACTTCCTCTCTCTGTCTCCTGTTTCCTCTCCTCTCTCCTCTCTCCTCTCTCCTACGCTCTGTTATTTCTGTCTGTGACACTTAGTTCCAGATTATTGATTCTCAGGATAATTCACATATTTATGGAGCATAGAGATTAAACACAGCATCCACACACACACACACACACACACATATGAAACTGGCTTTTGGGCCAGCTGGGTGAGAGAAAAAGTAATTTCAGCTTGGCACCCCGAGCAGCGTCAGCTCAAGGTGCCCTTCAGCAAATCTGCCCCCGACTGCTGGAGAGTCCAGACTGGGGCTGAACTGGTGAACTCCCAGTTGTGACTGTGGAGCAGAAACATGAGGCGAACTGGACGTCACTCAGTAAATGAAGGTTGAAACAAAGACTCTGGTGTTTTTCACAGACGGCGCTCCGACGCGTCACAGAGGGAAAACAGTCAAACAATGACGTGAATGAAGCTGAATGAATGTGGCTGCTTCCGGTCCTGGTTCAGGTCCTGGTCCAGGTTCAGGTCCTGGTTCAGGTCCTGGTCCTGGTCCTGGTCCTGGTTCAGGTCCTGGTCCTGGTCCTGGTCCTGGTTCAGGTCCTGGTCCTGGTCCTGGTTCTGGTCCTGGTCCTGGTTCAGGTCCTGGTCCAGGTTCAGGTCCTGGTCCTGGTTGTGGTCCTGGTTCAGGTCCTGGTCCTGGTCCTGGTTCTGGTCCTGGTCCTGGTCCTGGTTCTGGTCCTGGTCCTGGTTCAGGTCCTGGTCCTGGTTCTGGTCCTGGTTCTGGTCCTGGTCCTGGTCCAGGTTCAGTCTGCCTCACTGTCTCTGTCGGGACTCACTGGGACACTTGAATATAACAGTCAACATTAATGTCAGTAATAACGGCTTCTCCTCCTGTGACGAGTCACGGCTGTGAAAACAGAGCAGCTGATTGGTCGATTCCACTTCACTTTCCTTTTACAAAAACAAACATAAACATAGAAATGTAAGGACATAAGAAACATGAAAGTGAAGGTATCTGTGATGTCGCCCACACACCGGCTGGAGAGGTTCATCACTGACTGCAGTTTCCTGTTTGGTTTTAAATAAATGAAAATATAAAAGAATTTCTAATATAGTTAAATAATGGAGTCACGTCTGAAACGCTCACAAGAGCCAATGTTTGTCCTCGTGAGTGACGCCTCTCGTTAACCAGGGGTTAATACAAAAATACAGCAATATGACATCATCACTCATGACTGTGACGTCTTCAATACATTTAAATATCTTAATGATCAGATCTGACGGAGAAATTTAATGAACTCAAACGAAGACGCTGATAAAGACGAGAAGCAAAACACACTGAAGATGTTGGAGAATATATGAGAGCTGCAGACTGTGTGTGTGTGTGTGTGTGTGTGTGTGTGTGTGTGTGTGTGTGTGTGTGTGTGTGTGTGTGTGTGTGTCTGAGAGTGTGTGAGTGTGAGAGAGAGAGTGTGTGTGTGCACAATGTCTGGCACATCTCCCTGCCCGGCCAAGCCCTACTTCTTCTTCTCCTCCGGCTAACAACCTCCCAGGAGGAGCCTCCACACTCCCTCTGTCCTCCTCCTCCTCCTGTGCTCCTNTGTGTGTGTGTGTGGGTGTGTGTGTGTGTGTGTGTGTGTGTGTGTGTGTGTGTGTGTGTGTGTGACAGGTCAGTGCACCATGAGCTGACTTCCATATAGAACATATAGGTCATTGCACTGATGGTAGAACAGTAGCAGTGAATGTGTTGGTTAGTGCGCTGCTGCTTCCTTCAACTAAAGCATTTACATGTGGGTCAGCTGAGAAAGGCCCCCCCCCCCAGGATTATTCTCATTATCATCTCTCAGTTCATATTAATGTGTTTTTACTCATTATTACCAGTTGTATTCCTGTTGATGTCACAGTGAGAAGCCACAGGAGTGTAAAGCGTTCACTTCATTACATATATAATAATTACCTCGTTAATTCAGGAAAACAGGATTTTCTTTATTTTTTTAAGAAAGCTTTTCTCAGAATTTTGTTCATCCTGTTTTTCTGAATTAATGAGATTCTTATAGATTCTTTAGTTTCAGGTGAATGCATTGATCTTCCATGAGAAACCATCATGTCTCTTTTCCTACGTCGAGCTTCTCTCCTCGTCCTTATATAAACTGTGTACAGTCTGTAGTGGTGAGGAAGCCGAGAGTTTAAAGCAGGGGAGCGAACAGTGACTGTAAATGTCATGAACCAGAACCCCCCCCCCCAGGGCCCACACAAAGTGGTTTTATATAAAAGGTCTT